ATGGCGGGGGCTGGGGGCTGAGGGCAGGGGCCCCAGGCAGCGCTCAGTCCCGGGCACGACGTCCCCGTCCTTGCCCCCAAGCTGGGCTCAGAGACCTCTGACCCACGCAAAATGCAAAGCATTATGCAAATGAGGGGTGACCCAGTTGCCGTCTGGTGGCGACTTGGGGCAGCTCCGGCCCAGACCTCTGGCCCAGATGAGGGAGCTCGGGGACTACAGCCGGAACACACAGCGGGTGCACACTCTCCGAGCAGCCCACCCTGTGCTGGACAAGGGCTGCGCCAGGACCCCGAAGCTTGCGCAGCTCACACGGGACAGGGGTCAGCCTGGGAGACAGACCCCATGCAAAGCTGGCGGCCCACCCCAGGCCCACTCAGCGCTCAACCCTGGCGGCACCCTGCTTCACCCAGCCAAGGGAGCATGGCTGGCTTCACTGGCACATGACATGTGCAGTCACACAGGACCCCTTCCTGGTTTTGATGCTCTGCAGCCACTGTCTTGAAATTCTCCATAATTTTTGACCAAGGGGCTCTGACTTTCATTTTGCACCAGCCCCTCCCAGACACATCCACACACTCAGCTGGATGTGGGTTCACACCAGGCTTGCGGATCACAGGTGGCACGCACACGTGTTGCTCCAAAGCCTCTTGTGCCGGGGGTGTGGTGTGCCCAAGGGCTGATGAGCAGAGACACGCACCAGGAACAGCCCAGAGGGGCAGGCACATGCACCACCACCACAGGTGCTGTACCCCCACAGCCCACCCCACTGGCAGGGACCCTAGAGTGTGCTGGGAAGACACCAGCATTTGTCCCAGATGCCCCCTCCCTGTCTGCCCTTTGCCTGCGGCCCAGGAGGGGTTGAGCTCCTCCTGTCTGCACAGACAGAAGAGCCAGGCCTGGGGGAGGGTGGCCACCACAGGCATAGATGAGCCCTGAGCCCTGGACTGGGTCTACCCTATCCCCAAGGCCGCCCATGGACAGCATCCATCCCATTGGATGGTCCCAGAAATGGAGGGAAGGACTCACCCAAGGTCCGCAGAACTCAGAGGGGAGAGGAGTGGGAGGAATGGGGATGGGGAGATGGTGCAAGGAAGGAAAAGAAATGGGGGGACAAGGAGGAGGAGGGAGGGGGACCCATCAGTGGTGCTGACAAAGTGATAGATTGAAACTAAGTGGTGCCTGCGGTGGCAAGTCTGGGAGATGTCTGCTGGGCGGGGGGCCCAGTGAGGTCTGGCAGCCCTGCTGTGCTCTGAGGACCACTGCCCCAGGCCTGTGCTGCCGGAGGGCTCTGAGGAGAACTGCAGCTCAAGCCTCAGGGGCAGTGTCTTTATGCTGTCCTCTCTGAGCTGAGCTGGTTCTGGCTAGCAGGGAGTAGGAACAGGAGAACCCCAGTGTCCCTACCCTGCCCAAACTGGGGGCCTGCCAAGGCTTCCCAGGTCCTTCTATCCTTCCTCCCCCAAGGATTCTTTGGTGTGCCTGGGCTCCTGGAATGGGACACAACAGTGACCACACACCAGGGGCCCGGTGGAGAAGCAGGCCTTGGAAGCCCCCATCCAGGCCCTGCAGAGACCACTGTCTGCAGCTCTGCCCAGGGAGCAAGTGGCTGCCGGTGACCCCTGGAGACTCTGGGGATCCCCAGCAGCCTCCAGCCACCATTCCCTTGGCCCAACTCAGCCAGCCCCACACGCCCAAGCCAGGGATGGACACTCGGGGCCCCAAGAGTCCCAGCACATGAGAGGGTGTGTGCTCTGTGCACACTTGTGGGAACAGGCAGGCTAAGGAGGACGGAAGGGCATGTCTATCTCCCCAGCCTGGCTCCCAGGGCAGGGCCTCCGAGGACCAGGGTGGGGCCACCCACCTGGGGAGCCGTGGGCTCGGCCCTCCACTCCTTCATCACACTGGAGCTCAGGGCGGGGTGGGGAAGGGGAAGTCTGGCCTGGGTTCCCACACTGGGCCCAGCACCCAGGACCCCCCCTTCCCCACCTCACTCAGCCAATAGCATTCCTACAGCCCCTAAAACTCCTGCTAACCCCTGTCCCGTCTCTAAACCCTGCACCCATCACTCAGGTGAGCAGGTGAGACTGAGCTGAGATTAAACCAGAAAACTCAACCAAGGGTCCCGGGGCCAGTTGGAGCGAGGACAGGAGTACATCCAGGCTGCCAGGTGGAGCGCTTCCCAGCCAGCCCCAGGGACCCTGTCCCCACAGTCAAGCCTTTCCTTCAGCAGGTGGGACCCCAGTGAGACACACTGAGGAGGTGACGTCTGGTTGGCTCAGCCCCGGTTTGTCCCAGGACCAGGAGGGTGGCCAGCCATCAAGGCCCTCGGGCTGGGTGTGGGTGAGACCAGAAGGCAGCCCAGTGCTGCGTCCCTGCCCCGCCAGGCCGGGACGTACCTGGGCTGGCCACAGGAAAGAGGGCAGGCTGTGCCCAGTGCCCCTGGAGGCTGGGCAGCCAGCAGGCAAGCTGGAGCTCCCTGTAGGAACGACTGCAGAATGGAGGCTCTCCAAGGGGATGAGGAACAGCCCTCCACTCAGGACCAGGTCCCTCCCGCGGCAGGGGGGCAGCTGGGGGGCAGCTAGGGGTGTGCTCAGACCTGCGGGCTGCACCCCCACCCACCCTTCGCATGGCCTTCCAAGACGCCCAGGGAGACACCCGGCTGCTCAAGTGGGGACGTGCAACCAGAGAACACACACGTCCAGAGACAAGGACACACACACAGGCTGAGGGCCGTCCCAGTCCCAGGCGGTCCTGGGCCCCGGAGACTAGCCTGCAGTGTCCCCCTCCCCCACGACATCCTCCTGGGCTCATCTGGGGCTAGCAGACAGACACGCCAAGCCACAGGCCTAAGCTCTCCCCAGGAGCCAGCCAGTGATGACTCACGAGGCCCACTGATCTGCCGTTAGTGCTCACGGGGGTCCTCCCCTGAGAGCCAGGGATTGTGGGGAGGGGTCCCAAGCTCACATAGGGGTTGCGACAGCATCCTGGCCACGCGTGCACACTTCACCCCTCAGACCAGGGCTCCTGGCAGCCTGGGGGGTGGGGCAGCCGGTCTTCCCAGCAGCCCAAGGGCAAGGAGGGGCAGCAGAGGCTCAGACGCCACACAGGCACGTGCCCATCTCCTCATGTTCATCCCCTCAGGGGCAGCCCACTGCCAGCCGGTCCACTCAGACCCACACCTGGGACAGACGTGAAGCCACTGAGCCGGTCGAGGCCCCGACAACCCGAGACCTAGCCCCTCTGAAACCCCAGTGCACCTACCACACAGGGAGAGCAGTCGCTGTGCCCAGGGATGAAGCATCCACGGAGGGCTTTCAGGCCCAGCGAAGTATGAAGGGTGGGAGGGACACGCCCCATGTTCTTTGACAGACCGGGAGCTGAGGGGCCCAAAGCCCACAGCAACACTGCTGAAGCTAAAAACCATGCATCCATCCAGGCCTAAGGCTGCGTCTGTGCACCCTACCCCCCAGGACCTGGGCATCAGGGGATGGGGCCACCCCAGTCAGGCCCTAAAGGGCAGCTCCAGCAGCACCTGGCATGGCCCACAACCCTCCTGGGCCCCCACATGTGAGGAGGACCTGTGGCCAACACCACTACCTGGCCACATTCCCAACCCAACCCCCAAGGCAGCCCCTGGACCCTCCATGAATGATCCCGGCACCTTCTGGTCCCCACCATGCCTCTCCATGAATCCAGGGCCCCCACCCCCATCTCAGACAACTCAGACACAACCGTGCAGTCAGGGAATGGGAGCAGGGCCGGACAGGACCAGGGGTGGCTCGCTCCCCAACCCAGGCCCAGCCTCCTCTTCCAGGAAGCCTCCCTGCCCCATTCCCTGCTCTGGGCTTCCTTTGAGCTCAGAGTGGGACAGGCCTGCGTCTCCCAGTACAGCACACACAGCAGGCAGCAGGAATAGGGCTGAACGAGAACACCAAGACACCCCTCCCACAGCCTGCCAGCCCAGGCCTGGGCCTTCTAGACCCTCCAGGACCCTGGGGTGGGGGCCCTGGGGCAGCATGAGCCACACAGAGGCCGTGGGCACCTACCCGGCTAGATCAAGGTCCCACTCGAAGAAGGACCTCCCCAAACACCGAAGCAGGGCTTGCCCACGGCAGACTCGGAGGCCTGGGGCAGACCTGCGGTTCTCAGCAGGGCAGCGGCAGGGGCCTGGCCTGGGAGCATGCACCCCAGTGGGGGCAGCTCAGGGTGGAGAGCGGAGCCGGCCCGCCCACCCAGGCCCCCAGCTCTGAGGCGGCTTTGAGGAGCCAGGAGGGCCCCGCCAAGACAAACAGGCCTGTGGTGTCAGCCTTCCTGCTGCTGCTTCAGCCCTCCGTAGGCCCCCACCCTGGGGGAGGGGCAGGCAAACCCCCAGGCTGGCACACCCTCCCTGGGAGGAGCCACATCCCCTAGCCCAAACTGGAGCCTCCGGGGCTGGGAGACACCCCCTCCAGGGGTGGAGGCCCCAGTCTGTTCCTGGGCCCCCCTGGGTCCCACCCCAAACTCAGGGCCTTCCCCCACCACCCTCTCCTTCCACCCACCACAGGCCCTGGGAGCACCCTTCTCCGGTGCCCACCAGGTATGTTCCCCAACCTCAGCCCTGACACCCACCCCCACCCCTGGGCTGCCCAGACCCCTCCAGAGCAGCACCCTCAGGAAGCCCAGTGCGGCCCAGGCGTGTCCAGGGGTCTCTATGTTAGGGCCAGTTCAGCTTCAAGCACACCGGCAAACCACCACACCCAACTCCCCCAGCCCCTGGGGCTGGGAGGGCTCCCGTGGGAGTAGCAGATGGGCAGCCCCTCTGCCCCTGGGGCGGCATCCGGGTGCCCTGCATCACCCCTGTGTGAGCATAAGCCTACCCATAGCAATCAGGGCCAGGGGCTGAGCCCGGGACCCCAGGCCCACGTAGCCCCAATTGGACCCTCCAGCTGGGCAGCTTCTGGTTCCACCCACACTTTCGGGCGGTGAAGCGGTGAAGCGGAGGCTGGGACCCAGGCCGAGGGGGTGGGTCAGCCGACTCCCAGGCAGGGTTCTCCCTGGGCTCAGCCTGTTTCCAGAACACTCAGGGCCAGAGGGTCCCAGCAGCTGAAACTTCAATCGCTAATTGCCCCTTGTCCCCTGCCTGCCCTGAAGTGACCCTTCTCGAGCAGGAAGCAGGGCTCACGGGTTTCAGACCACGTGTGAGCACAGCCCTCCCTCCCCCTGCCCACACTCCCCTCCACCCTCACCCTTACCCATGCTCTGGTCCCCTGGGGGCCTCCCTCCTGCCCCTGCCCACCCTGAGGAGAGCCTGCCCACACCCTGGCCTGCTCCCCCCAACACACCTAGCAGGACATGGCCACTCAGGGCTGGCCGGGCAGGAGGGCAGGGCTGATCTCTGAGGCTCCCCTGTCCTCTGGTCTAGCTGGCTGGGACTGAGCCAGGGCAGAGTGGAGACGGAGGACCAAGTGCACATGAGCGTTGGGGCCCTGCACACTGCTCCCCGCAGCCTCCCCCTGGAAATCAGGGAGCTGGAGAGGAGGAGGCCGCCACCGCTTCCACCCCCAAATCCACACAGAGCTCTCAGAATTCCAGGAATGTCAATTTGGCACTCCGTCCCCTCCCTCTCTGGGAGTAAACAACTACGGGGCAGGAGCCGGGCGAGGCAGCCTCTCCTCCAGGAAGCCTTCTGCCCCAGCTTCCCCCGTGCTCCCAGAGGCCCACCCAGATGACATCCCAGATCCCTCCCCCGTCTCCCTCACCTCCACAGACGCAGCAGCCTCTACAGCTGAGCCTGGCTATGACCCCAGGCCCCTATGACTCAAGGTCCCTTTCCCGCTTCTCTGGCTGGGGACAGGATGTGCGTCCAGTCAGCCTGGGAAGGGGGGCAGGGCAGGGAAGTGGCCTCCAGCTCGTGGCTCCGCACGTGGCAGGATGGGGGATGGCAAACACCACTGGGGAGGCCATCCAGGGCCCAGGCAAAGGTGGGGGCTCAAACTTCAGGCAGGCAGCAGCTCTGGTCAGCCTCTCCATCTCCCGCCTGGACCTCCATCTCCTTGCCTCTCAACTAAGGCCAGGGTCCATCATCTACCCTGAGAGGGCAGTTAGTTGATGCCTGGGACCCAAGACAGGCCCCACCCACCCCAAAGTGAGATCCAGACTCCTCAGGCCAGCGAACTGCCCAAAGCCTGCATAGGTGCCTAAGTCACAGGTGCCACTGTGCGACACATCCACCCTCCCCAGTCCAAAGCTTATCTCCTCCAGGGAGCCTTCCCTGCTTCTCACTGTATACAGCCCTCTCCACTACCCCTAGCCATAGGATCAGGGGCTTCACCCCACCTCTTTTCCAGAGACACAGATTCCCCTCCCTTTAAATCCTTCATGGCTCCTGCCCCATCACCTCCTCCAGCTCCAGGTACAGCCTGCAGGCCTCTGCCCAAGGGTTCCCTTTGCCAGGATCTGTCCTGCTCTCACACACACTCGGGCTCTCTCTTCAAGGTTCAGCTTGAAAGACACCTCTTCCACGACTATCCCGGTTCTCAGAGGTCCGACCTCCCAGATCGCAGGCGACCCACCCAGCACCGCCTGGCCTGGGACGGGTGCAGCCAGCCCCATCCCGCACCCCTCGAAGCCCTGTCCCCGGGAAGAAGGCAGGAGGGACAGGCGCGAAGCCGATCGCAACGCTGCTGGGGGGCTGGAGCCGCCCGCTGAGCCCCCCACCGCGCCAGTCACTCCCACCGCGCCCTCCCGGCTTCAGGGATACAGGCAACTACAGAGCCAGGACCATTACTGTGCGGGCGACTGGGCGGTGGCGCCCCCGAGGGTCCTCCCAACAGCGCAGAGACCCCTCGGGCGCCCGCCGTCAGGGGCTCCGGGTGGGGAGTACCCCTTTTCC